GTCTTAGAAACTGTAACTAGTGTTATGTTCACCAGACCATAATTTATTCTAAGAATCAACAAACTGGAAGAAAACGGAGACAAATGCAAAAAACAAATCGAAAAAAAAAAAGCAAAAAACAAGTTTTAAAATCATGAGAATAAGCTATAGAGGAGAACAACGAGCTAGTGAATGACGATTACATTTATCCCACATGCCCAGTTAAGAAGATGTTAGAACATGACATAACATGCCATAAGACACTAGTCACATGTAACTTGACCCAACTTTCGGGTTTGTCTGAAAAAAAGTCCTTCAATTCCAATGGATTATTAGTATCATCCCCATTTGGTTGGTGATTTGGAAAATGTTTTATGACTTTCCACATATTGAGAATGTCATAATCCCAACTGACGAACTCCATCATTTTTCAGAGTGGTAGGTTGAAACCACCAAGCAGATGAGTATCATCCCCATTAGATGGCAATTAAATGGGTGTACCACATTTTCAGACACGTCCATGGTCACAGTGCCAGACGCGTGAACCCAGCAGCTCCAGTGCAAGCGTCAAACGCTCCAAGGTGGCAAGGGGAGGTTTCCCGAAAAGGGATGGCTACCTCCAAATCATCCATGAGATTTTCCATGGAAATAAACCATTCTAGGTTTCCCCCACATCGAACTTTTCTAGGTCCATGATGCCCTATGGATCCAAGTACCTTCTTAGGAAGTGGGACTGGGGTATAATTTACTATAATTTGGAGGCTTTTTTGTACCTTCTCAGACAGTGTTTGGATCCATAGGGATTATAAACCATTCAGCTACCTTTTGTACCCCCAATTTAGGAAACCATATGGGTGTGTCTGAAAATGTGATATATCATGATATATCTCCAAAATGGTTAGTTTACTAGGTGACAAATAACTACGATAACTGTTGGATTTTGGGGTATACCATTTTCAGGCAACACCATTTATTGAAACACAGAAACACCGAGAAAACACGGATGATCACAGATGGAAACATTGCTCAATATTTAAGACCCAGGGGATCAAAGACGTTGCTTTGTGTTAGTAGTGCACCACGCAAATCTTTGCGGTACCCAATTTGAACCCATCCCCGTAATATGGAGTTTTCCCAAAATAGGAGTATTCACCAAATCATTCAAATTTAAACCATTTTCGTATTGAAACTCATTGGTCATGGTTTTGGGGATTCCCCATTTTAGGAAACCCCCATATAGCAGAAGCGTGCAAAACATAGTCAATTTGTTTTTGTCTATTTGGTTCTTCAATGGTAAAAGGTGGTGCCCCTGACTCAGCTAAGTTGGTTTATATGACTCTTAAATACCTACGTAGTATTTCATTAGGGTTTATTGTAATTATAAATTATATAGTATTCATGGGGGCTACAAACCAACAAGCATCACTGGGGGGGGCACAATCTTGTCATGTGAAAGTTTCACACATGGGACATGTCAGGTTTGAAATGGTGGGGTCCACAGACATTCCGGGCATTTTGAATGGTTGAACATATCTCAGCATCATTTTTTAGTGCTTCTATAAATAGTTGTTATATAACCCCTGAAAATTTGATGGTCATGGTTCAAGATTATACATGTTGATTTGGCATCTGACTTCAGATTCGGTGTCGCGGTGGTGATTAATACCGTTTTTTCCCCATGAATAACCCAACCAGCTCTTTGGAGGAACGAAGTGTTGGTGTCATTTGTTTCGTAACTCCCATGATCTTTGTTCAAATGTAACTAGTTGAGTTGGGGTACGAAATGCAACCTTTTTTTCGATCAATGCTTCTATTTCCTGGCTAATTCTCCCAATGTGTTTGGCCACAGCAGTTGGATGATCCCAAGCTCAGGTCCCAATGGTACTTGGATCATGTTTTCCCATGGCCATCCCATGGCCGTACTGTGTTTAACTGTTCTATCTACTTGCAGGTTGCTATACAGCAAACATGTGATTATTTCTTTTGCCAAGTGTTTTTTGCTGGGTGTTTCCTAAAAGATTTCACTACAAACAAACAAGTCTGTGAGTAACCTGGCGATGCGCGATGCAAGAAACGGCGCCCATTTTTGCGTTTCAGGCGAAGGAGAAAGTTTCAAAGGAGAAAGGAAGAAAGAGGCCACCATTCCAGCCCCCGGGCCAGCTGGAGATTTGCCAGATTCCCGGTCTATAAACCCATGCAGAATTTGGGGGTCAATACAGAAAAGCCAGAAATTAAAGCACCACAAAGTTGTCATTGGAGCGGTCATGAAGATGTACTTATCTTCATAGTTCTGCAAAGTAGCTAGTCTTCATAGTCAACAGATCATAATTATATAATTGCAAGTTGCTGCAAGTACTAGTCACAATTTTCATAGTTCTTTATCTGGGTGCTGCTGTCACGTCTTCAGCACATCTTGATGTATCTAGAATATTGAATAACATCAACCCCTTTGACCACCCAAAAAAACAAAGGACGAGTTGGAATATGTTTGTGCAATTTAACTAATTACAGTATTCTTTTCTGAAAACGTGCGGTTCTTGGGTTGCGCAGCAAGTTTCCATACTTTTTTTCTGTGGTTGACTGGCAATATGTATTGCACCACGTAGGCAAGAGTGCGGCTTCCAAAAAAAAACAGGACACTTAAAATCGAAAGCAGTCCTTTCCTCGTGCTGTCAGATGTCCTGTATGATCATCCCAGTAGTGGAGCAGCAGCCATGGCTGGCATGGCTCAGCTCTCTGCCGAAACCCGAAGATGAGCAAATCCGCAGATTGATTTTGCACTTGGAGAGGTCTTGCTTGACATCTGCCATCACCCATAGGATCCCGGTATGCTATATATGGCAACATTTACCATCAATATACCCCCAATGTTAGCATATATACCATATATACATGGATGCTATGGGTCATGGACCTAGAAAATAGTTCGATGTGGGGGAAATGATCACGATGTAGCGGCGTAGCGTTCCAACAAAATCATCCTGATCGAAGGAGAAGAATCAGACAGCCCAGAGCTGATCCACAATCTCTGGGGAAGCTGGTGTGAGGCCAATGTAGATCGATAAGCTGCTAGAACTTCTCACGGCTTCAAATACCTGCAGGGCCTGGAATTCCGCGACACGCGACACGGTCTATCTTGTGACGGCAGTGTGACACTATCGCGGAACATCGCGGAACGGTTCTGGTCCCGCTCGGTTTTGCGCAGCCGGACTAATATTCAACGACTGATCCTTTCTCTTAAAGCCAGGCCTTTTGGAATGAGATTGTGGATACACGAGACAGCCAAGACAGCCAAGACAAGATGTCTCACTTCCTTCAACTCAGGGGACAACAGCCGGAATGACATCAGTTGAGTAAGAGCGAAGTTTCAAGGGTTTCACCAATGGTAATCTCCAGATGCCGAATGGTATTTCCAGGCTGGTAGCTTTCTATCTGTGGCCTGGGGGTTGTACCCTCTGGTAAACTAAGGTTTAACTATGGAAAATCACCATTTTGAATGGGTAAATCCACTATAACTAAATGGCCATGTTCAAGTTCGCAAACTGTTAGTTTACCAGGAAGCTTAAGATACCAGTAGGTAGACTATAATCCCATTGAACATCCCATTAAACACCTTGACGATTGTCCACTTCCTACCTTTGGGACGCTGGGCACTCGAAAGATCATCCCCCGGTGCTCGGATCATGCTACTCAGCGGCTTGGCCTCTAGTCAATTGGGTATGGGTCAATACCTATAGATACCATTTTTAGTGGGATGAACATCCATAAATCCCAGCTATGACTTGGGGTGAACAAAAGGTACCAGGGTTTTGGCCCATAGCCATATAGATCTTGGTACTCAATCAGGTTGGTGGTTTGGAACATGAATGGATGATTTTTCCATTCAGTTGGGAATGGAATATAATCCCAACTGACGAACTCATATTTTTCAGAGGGGTTGAAACCACCAACCAGTTAATGTTGGTACTTAATCTATATAGATGGTCCATATTTTCCCTTGCTATGTTCGTTTACTGGAGGATTTATGCCAACCAGACGTACTAGGCCATGCCAACCAGACTATTTGTTTGCAGACTCCTGGGAACTGGGTATATGAAAGTAGATGATGTTCCTATTGAAGGTGGTCGTGTTCCAGTTCCCGATTTCAGAAATACCTCATTATTACTGGTCATGTTGTTTGTTCTGGTCGAACAGTTTTATTCTTATGAAGTCATGATACAGTTACCAAAGTTATTGATATAAGAGATGGGTCATCTGGTCGAACAGTTTTATTCTTATGAAGTCATGATACAGTTACCAAAGTTATTGATATAAGAGATGGGTCAAGTCACCTATGAAACTACCACAATTTGCGGTTTATTCACATCCGGTTATACCAGCTATGACTTAGAGTATCTAGGGTACCAGCGTTTTGGCCCATAACGATATGGGGTTTATTCACATCCAGCATCATCCAGCCCCGCTCGCAGTTCATCATCACCCTCCAGGCTCGATGAGTTGGAGGGGCAGCAGCTATCAGTTGGTTACGGAGTCCATTCATCTAACTATGTAGAATTATACAGATATATCATGGTATATCATATATCTATACACTTAGATGATGTTAGATGATGTTAGATGATGTTAGATGATGTTAGATGATGTTAGATTATGTCGGATGATGTTAGATGATGTTAGATGGGTTTATAAATCAATATATATATATGCACGTTACGCACACATAATATCCTCCATAAATCATCATACATCCTAGCCCAGTTCGCAAGCCTTCCTATCAAGGACCATCCCTTGAAGCTCTGGGCACCGGGCACCATGGTGGCAGATCACAAAAATTGGCCCCTTTTTCGGTGGTTGACAATAAATAGAAATATGATCCATCAATATAATATATATATATGATTCATCAATATTGTGGTTGACAATTAAAAAATGATGATCCATCAATATGGCATGGTTTTCAAATCTCTGGTTGACAATAGAAAATAAACAAATCCTTCCCAGCTTGTTGGAGCTTTCGTGAGGCGAAAGGACAAAGACAGCAAGGAGACAAAGGAGTCGAAGGACAAAGATCAAAACAAAGAGAAATCCAAGGAATCCAAGGCTTTGCGCGCTGCCCTTGTGCACCACCTGGTGTTTGGGGCGATTTTGCTGGGAGCAGCTTTGCGGCGCTGGGGTTCATGGGGAGCAATCCATTAATCCAAGGTGGTCCCCAGTTCAAAGTTGTTTACAAACCATCCTGGTTGGTGGTTTGGCACATGTTTTATTTTCCCATATATTTTGAATTTCATCATCCCAACTGATGAAGTCCATCATTTTTCAGAGGGGTGGGTATACCACCAACCATCATCTAACTTCATATGGCTGCTCCAAATTGAAAGCCCCGATTCCCGATCCATACAGTCTGGATCTTCAATCATCACCAACCATGTAAGTTGGAATATTACAACCCGTAACCCCAAAACGATAGAATAGGAAAATCCCACTGAAATAGTGATAAAATATGACAAAAGATGTTTTCTATTGTTTTTTTGGTATGCTCTCAGGGACATGATAGGCTAATTATGAGGGATATTGGATTTTGTCTTGGGGATTGATGGCGAACTCTTGCGACCGAAGAGGGAGAATCATCCCCAAATGGATGAACTTTACAGGTTCGTTCTGGAGAGTTCCCACGGCTGTTTTTTCTTTTTGGCTAACCTTAACAGTATAAATGGGGATGTACCAACTTTAAGGATTTAACCTTAATAAATCAAATCACACGTATGTTTTCATTGGATCTTAACTGGGGAAATTCGGAAACCGACTGGATTGATTCTTTTTTGCACAGACTTAATGCTGCAGAATTGTGCTATAAATTGATATATATATATATATAATTATATAGATATCCCATAGGATCCATGTATGGTATATATATATACATATACTATTATGCTAACATGTGGGGTATATTGATAGTAAATGTTACCATATATAGCATACATGGATCCTATGGATATATACATAGTAATCATCCGATGTTTTTGCCGGGTATGTTTAAGACTGGCAATGTATAGAATTGAGATAACTGTTGTCAAGTGCTTAGCTATTCCTGATCCTCCCCATGAATGTCCAACTTCAGTAGAAATGATGGTGATGCACCCAAGTGTAAGCTTCATCTGGCTCTTAAAATAGGATGCCTCCAAATCCATTGCCATTTGGAGGGTGCAACCAATGGCAAACCCATCTGGGTATAAATGATCACATGTTCCATGATGCCAAAATTTGTCGCATGATTTTGGCATTCTTGCTGAGCTTACCGCATTTTCGCTGCAATTTTGCAGCAGTAGTTTGACAATTTGGTTTTGTCTCATATCCCCACTCTTGCTTTCAAACGGTTGGTAAGTAGCATTGATATCCCCAAAGTAGCATTGAAACACCCCCAAAACCAGAGTGGATGTAGGGATTTACACATATTTTGGACCATAGAATGAGGTTGTGTGATATGAACGAGGGGATAGGATTATTCAGCCAGTTATAAGTAGAATAAGCCCCATAAATAGACTATAGACCATAGATATATCCACCATACTCCATATTTCGGGGATAGGAGTACCAAGAATCAGTGGCCACTTCAGTATGTAAGGGCTAGGTACGGGGATATACACCCAAAATATGGCTTTATATGGTACAGTACCTCCATTTTAGGATCCTGAAGTTCCCATTGAAAAAATAAAACATGAATTTCTGACATTCAGCATCTCCTGCCGGGCACAGGAGAAGGACGAGAAAGAGAAAGAGCGCCAAAAGGAGCGACGGCAAGACTTGACTTTGGTCAGTTGCTTCAATATTGCGCCCCCCCGGCTATGAGTTTCAATTGGCTGAAGGGAAAATCTACAGGAAGCCATAGATTTTCCCATGAAATATGGGGTTTTCCTGTATTTTTCCCTTAAACCAATCCATTGAAAGTTGGTTTATAAAGCCCCATGAACTATATAACACTAGCATAGTTCAATTTACACGAAAAATGGTTCAGAAAAAAATATCGCGGGTCCTTCTCTTGCAGGCGAAAACAAATCCTTGACAGAGCATGGAGCAGTTTGAATAATGATTGGTAGCCGCAACATGTCAATGCCACTTTGAAAAAGAAATGGCCATTCAATCAATGGCCATTTCAGGAACCGATTGATTGGAGGTACCTACCATGTATTGTAGGCCTATTTTTCAGGCCTATGTAAGGAGAATATCCCGGCAAAATATGGCCAAACATATGGTACGTTTACGTACCTCCATCTGTTGGATCCTTTTTTATTCCCATTGATTCAATCGGCTATGATGTACCAGTGGCTCTGGAGACAAAGTCTTGGACCAGTGGCTCTGCCTTCGACTTCCTGCATGCAAGCGACTGCTGAAACAAGCTGAAGCACGGAACGCCACGGCCGTCGACTTCCTGCGTGGACTGCGTGGACTATATGGGATGATTGCCCCATGTCATGTTACGCTATTTTATGGATTTGTATGGTAGTTCTAGTTGGATATGCTACAACCCAAAAAAAGATGCCAAAAAGTTGACATCATCGAACTACCATCCTGGAAATTATATCGGCACCTTTTTCGCGGTTACTGTACGATTATATAGATATCAGGATGTACTGGTATTGTATGGAATATCATGGGAAAAACGTTCCGATTTCATTTTATTTCATGGGAATTTCATAATTGTTTTTTTTTGTGGGATGTATCATGAATTTATGAATATTGTCCATACATTCATGAATTGATAGTTGTATATGTATATAACTGGTATTTCACGTGATGGGATCATCACTTGATGATCTGAGACATGTGCTCTCCATCCCGAGGCCGCGATCTCCCCCTAAAAAGTTCATCCCCCCAAAGGTGCCATCCGGAGGTTCCAAGCCAGCAATCCGCAAGGACAGAAGCAGATCTCGAAGTCACAGTAACTTGGTCAATGGTAAAACCATAGGAAAACCATAGGAAAACCATAGGAAAACCATAGGAACATGGTGGCTGGCCCTCTGGTAAACGTTTACGTTTAACTATGGAAAGATCCACCATTTTATAGCTGGGTAAATCCACTATTTCTATGGCCATGGCTTCAAGTTCGCAAACTGTTAGTCATTTCCAGAGGGTATATCCTTTGGTGTCATCAGCTCTATGGCTGGGAAATCTCCGATCTCTGACCTAAATGGAGGTGAAAATCACCGTGAAAATCACTGAACTAAATGGAGAACTGACCATTGCCATGTTTGGTCGGCTGCAGTCGAACCACATATATTTGAGACGTTTCGGGCGATGATACTGGTACCCTATCCCCAACTATCCATTCTCCTTAAACAAGACTAACATCAAAAACGATTCGGTTATTTCATACTCTTAGTGAAGCTTCCCCACATAGAAAAGTTCCTCAAGGCCGCGAAAAAAATGCAACCCATCACTAATAGAGGGTCGCCTCTGATAAAAATTGTGTGCAGGCTCGGCCTTTGGTTGTCGAGTTCCCTATTTCAGACCCAGATGTTGAGGAAAGTGTTCAATGCCTAGTGCCATGTCTCTCCAATCAGCAATGTCCATTAGTTTCCTGAGTTGTAACCATGTAACGCTTTCTTGTGTTGAAGTAAACCGAGATGAAATGGATGGGACAGTTTTCTTACTGGTGCTTAGCAGGGAATGTTTTAATGACCCAGAATTCCGTATTAACAATCATCCCATTCCCCCATTCTCTACGAAGCATCAGTAAGTTTTAGACGGAGATACAACCGTTGTTGAACAGGAAATCATGTAGCATGATTTTCGGTGGCCAAGTTGGCCGGATGAGGTCGAAGAAAAAGAAAAAGATCCAGCGCCTCTTGATTTCAGCAACTGAAGCAGTGTGAACAAAAAGACCTGGTTGGTTGATGATCAGTTGGTCATTTCATAGGGATTCCAACCATCAAAAAATATGGGGACCACTTGCATTTTATTCCTCCAGGAAAGCAAAAGATCACAAGGGCATTCAAAGTCACATCACAGAAACTGTTCAATCACGGGAATTGCAAAGACTGGTACTGGTTGGTGTTTTTATTATTATTTTTTCCATATTCATCATCCCAACTGACTTTCATATTTTTCAGAGGGGTAGGTTTACCACCAACCAGGGTATGTTTTCCAAGTTTTCCAAGTCCAAGAAAAAATCGAGGACTTTCAAAGCTAAAACCTGATTTTTTTGTGCATGGGGTATCTATGTTGGATGGCTTTGCCCAACTCCAGGGTAGCAGATCCTAGGGAACAGTTGTTGAAGTTTACCTCCATGGCAATGATCAATCCATGCAAATGTTCCAAAGTGATCCTTTTACCCATGCAAATGCTCACTTTCAATACTGAAATCATCCACTTCTGGGATCTTTGCATATATTACTGCCACGTAGGTTTACCAGAGGCAAAAGCTGGCCGTTCTGCAGCCTGAGGATTCCTCGAAAGGCAAAAAACTTAAGCACAGAAAGCCAAGTGCCTTGGAAGCCTTGATGAAACCAACCTTAAAACAGGGGAGAAAAACGTGTCAGTCTGTCTGTCTCAACAAAAATGATAAAAAATGGCAGACAAGAAAACATCCAACATATTTTCATGACATGTTGTTTTGTTTTTGAATTAAGCAAAGGTGGGGTTCCCAGAAGCATTGAGAAGCGCTCAGATAATCAGATGATCTCCTCAGTATTCAAAGCGGTCCGGACCTGATTCTGTGAAAAGCCTTGTAGCGACTGGGAGGGCAGCACCCAACATTGCCGACAGGTGAGAACGGCGACAAGAAGGGTAAGCGTTCATCTTCACGAAAGCGCAAGGAGGTTGGGAATTTCTTGGCTGTGATGAGGGTTTGTCTGAAAACAGGATGCCCGAACAGGAAGGGCCCCCAGCCCCCGATATTAAAAATGTAGGTGGTTTACATAAGAAGCCATTGATGTGTGGCCTCGGGGTGGCTGTTGGCTGCAGGATGAAGCATGCCAAGTCAGCGCTTGAAGCGTTTTAGATTTTTAAGGGTTGGAGGGTTTTAAGGGTTTGGAGGGTTTTAAGGGTTTGGAGGGTTTTAAGCGTTTAAGGGCTGGCAGACGCCAGACTTGGACGCCCATAAGAAGCCATTGATGTGTGGCCTTGGGGGGCTGCAAGAGTGGCCATAAGAAGCCATTGATGTGTGGCCTCGGGGTGGCTGTTGGGTGCAGGATGAAGCATGCCAAGTCAACGTTTTAAGGATTTTAGGGTTTTTAAGGGTTTGGAGGGTTTTAAGGGTTTGGAGGGTTGTGGCCATTAAGGAAGCATTGATGTGTGGCCTCGGGGGCTGTTTGGCTGCAGGTGAAGATGCCAAGTCAGCGTTTGAAGGGTTAAGGTTTTTTAAGGGTTTGGAGGGTTTTAAGGGTTTGGAGGGTTTTAAGCGTTTAAGGGCTGGCAGACGCCAGACTTGGACGCCCATAAGAAGCCATTGATGTGTGGCCTTGGGGGGCTGCAAGAGTGGCCATAAGAAGCCATTGATGTGTGGCCTCGGGGTGGCTGTTGGGTGCAGGATGAAGCATGCCAAGTCAACGTTTTAAGGATTTTAGGGTTTTTAAGGGTTTGGAGGGTTTTAAGGGTTTGGAGGGTTTTAAGGGTTGAAGGGCTGGCAAACGGCAGACTTGGACGCCCATAAGAAGCCATTGATGTGTGGCCTTGGGGTGCCTGTTGGCTGCAGGATGAAGAAGGGTTTGGAGGGTTTTAAGGGTTTGGAGGGTTTTAAGGGTTTAAGGGCTGGCAAACGGCAGACTTGGACGCCCATAAGAAGCCATTGATGTGTGGCCTTGGGGTGCCTGTTGGCTGCAAGAGTGGCCATAAGAAGCCATTGATGTGTGGCCTCGGGGTGGCTGTTGGCTGCAGGATGAAGCATGCCAAGTCAGCGTTTTAAGGGTTGTAAGGTTTTTAAGGGTTTGGAGGGTTTTAAGGGTTTTTAAGGGTTTGGAGGGTTTTAAGGGTTTGGAGGGTTTTAAGCATTTAAGGGCTGGCAAACGGCAGACTTGGACGCCCATAAGAAGCCATTGATGTGTGGTGTGGCCTCGGGGTGCTGCAAGAGTGGCCATAAGAAGCCATTGATGTGTGGCCTCGGGGTGGCTGTTGGCTGCAGGATGAAGCATGCCAAGTCAGCGTTTGAAGGGTTTTAAGGTTTTTAAGGGTTTGGAGGGTTTTAAGGGTTTGGAGGGTTTTAAGGGTTTGGAGGGTTTTAAGCGTTTAAGGGCTGGCAGACGCTAGACTTGGACGCCCATAAGAAGCCATTGATGTGTGGCCTTGGGGGGCTGCAAGAGTGGCCAGAAGAAGCCATTGATGTGTGGCCTCGGGGTGGCTATTGGCTGCAGGATGAAGCATGCCAAGTCAACGTTTTAAGGGTTTTAAGGTTTGTAAGGGTTTGGAGGGTTTTAAGGGTTTGGAGGGTTGGTGGCCATAAGAAGCCATTGATGTGTGGCCTCGGGGTGGCTGTTGGCTGCAGGATGAAGCATGCCAAGTCAGCGAAGGGTTTTAAGTTTTGAAGGGTTTGGAGGGTTTTAAGGGTTTGGAGGGTTTTAAGGGTTTGGGGGGTTTTAAGCGTTTAAGGGCTGGCAAACGGCAGACTTGGACGCCCATAAGAAGCCATTGATGTGTGGCCTTGGGGGCTGCAAGAGTGGCCATAAGAAGCCATTGATGTGTGGCCTCGGGGTGGCTGTTGGCTGCAGGATGAAGCATGCCAAGTCAACGTTTTAAGGGTTTTAGGGTTTTTAAGGGTTTGGAGGGTTTTAAGGGTTTGGAGGGTTTTAAGGGTTGAAGGGCTGGCAAACGGCAGACTTGGACGCCCATAAGAAGCCATTGATGTGTGGCCTTGG